GTGAGAAAATGGTTTCTTTTTATATTTCCATCTTTCACCTTTTTCTTAAATAAGCATCAAACATTACGCCACTGAGCCATATGTCCACCTTTCCTGATCTCTTGCTCGCTCTCCACCACTTGGCTTGCCTCTCTTTCCTGTATTTTTTTAAACCTTGAAACCACGCAGCTCATATACCTCCCTTAACTTCCAGTACTGTTGCTGCAGTGCTGCTACCAAAGGATGTCTCTCCTGTTGTCCGCTTCCTTCTGCCCTCTTACAGGTCCAAATGTACCTTCTGTGTTAGCAGTGTACAAGAGGATCATAGAGTCACTAATTTTTATTTTTATTTTCTTTTAATGGACACCCAACAACAAAAAAAGCCCAAAAATCTATGTTTCACTACAATCAAAATACCTCAATTATGTGGGGCATCCACTCATTTTAAACAAATAAGCCATTAATTCTCAATTTCTCCTAAGCAATTATCTCCTACCATTATCCCTCGTTCAGTTGTTTTTCTGTAGTCTTACACAGTGTCAGTGAGTGTTGGTGCTTTCTAAGTTTTTGGCTAGATGTCAAGTAATTCAAAATTGTAGAAGAGCTCAGTGCTTTTTAACATTTTACTTCAGCAGTGGCTTTAAGAAAAATTAATGTTTCCTGAGTAGGCAAACACGTGGTTGTTGTGACATGGCATAAAAGCATGATAAAATCAAACTGAATAGAGAAAATGATAGCAAGCTTCTGGACAGGAAAATAAAACCAAGAAGAGACGAAAGTCATCTATTCTGTTTGCTTGCCTTTATAAATTTATGCTAGGATAAAATAAGCTAAATTCTCTATCTTGTTTTTGATTCTTCCAAGGTAATGTGGAAATAAAGTGGCATTTTTCATTTGTTTGTTTACAAGTTACTCCAACAATATTCTTGATTAAAGCCTTTTCTTTGAGAATTGCGTTTTTCTTTTCCATAACAGAAAACCCAAATCTCTTACAAAAATAAGAATGTAGTGTCACAGATAATATTTTGCTGTTCCAGGCTGCTCTGAACCCCTGGGGATGAAATCAGGACACATACAGGATTTCCAAATTACCGCCTCCAGTGTTTTCCGCACGCTCAACATGGACATGTTCGCTTGGGAGCCCAGAAAAGCCCGGCTGGACAAGCAAGGCAAAGTTAATGCCTGGACCTCTGGCCACAATGATCAGTCACAATGGTTGCAGGTACAGTTTCACATACATATTCCCAAATGTTTATCTTCTCTGTGTTTCAGGTATGGAGTTGGTTGACTGGTTTAGGATTATATTCATACTCTTCAATTTCTGAGAGTAACCATCTGAACTCTGACACATGTAGGAGGTGAAGCTATGAAAACCCACACAGATCTTCAAGTCTTTGGTACCTTGGTACCAAGAACCCTAGAAAGTGCCTCAAAAAATAGTGCTCAAGGAAACCTTCACCTCCACTAGACAAGACTCAGAAGTTGTCCAGCAGCAATTAATTTTCTTTTGTTAATGGATGCAAATAGTAGTTGCAGATCTGTTTCACTGCTTGCTTTTGATATGTTTCCCTTCTGTCTTTCCAAAGCTCCTTGGAAAAGCGTATTTACTTTAGCTTTGCGCACACTAGCAACTCTGACCCATAGGAATTCTATTTGTCTAGATGAGACTGCTCAAAACTACCTTCCAACTTCTCTCTGAAGCTAGCAAATTCATTATAAAGCTGTGCACAGGGGTTGTTTTCAGCCTGGGAGTGATTTATACAAGTCAGTAATATGTTAATGTGAAAGACTGCAATAAATCACTGGTATGGAAGCCTATTTGACCTGTCACTGACATATTTACATTTTCTGAACTGTTGAAAATAGCGGTGGTTTTAGTCAGCTGCCAGTTTGCAGTGCAGTTCTCAGTGGGAAGCCTCAATAGTACTAGACATGGCTACTAACCCCCTGCAATCTTTTCACATAAAAATTATGACATATTAGCTTTTTTTACCTAGAGTTGCCAAGCAATTTAGCCATACAATTGCTATATTTTCTCATAGGTTTACACAAATACTGAAAGGAAGGGGCAGTTGCCTTGTCTATTTTGGTTTTGAATAACTGAAGATCCTGGATTTTGTGAAAGTTTTTTAGAGGAGCTTGTTGAAACAGCTGTTACTAACTTCTGGCGCGGAAGATTTTATTGCTGTGTTCTGAGGTGGAGAAGCAGATGAAAATATCTCTCCACATAAAAGAGAGGCAGATGTTTCACAGCCAGTTTTAGCCCCATCAGTGATACAAAGAAACTAAGGGTGTGCAGAGACTTCACAGGAATATCCTGTGGTGCATTATTCCTCCTGTGGGTGACAGTGCATTTTTAATTAACTACAGATGGCAAGAGGTTGCAGAGGTAATTCTTATATTCTAAAGTTTTCCATTCTGTTCTAAATGTGTCCATATTTGAACCTCCCTGAACCTCCAAATTTAGTCTGACCACTTGCACAGTCTCTCCAAGTCCTTGAAGTATCAGGGATATTCTTTTTTAATCTGATCCAAAGAAAGTTGTGAAAAAATATTCATCTTTTAGTTCATTTGTCATGGGACTATGATATGAGTTCAGAACTTCACAGAAATATGACCAATTTACCCTTCTCTGAAAGTGATTATACTGATAATATTTCTCCAGAAGAGCATCAAAACATTTCTGGTTTGGGAAAAAAAAAAAATAAAAAAAAATGAGGCATTAAACCCACTTGTTTTATCAGTACTTAAGCTGCTTGTTAACTTCTACTACAAACTAGTAATTCTGTATTCAGTCTGTGAGTATAGATGGACTCACATGCTTCAAGTTTAGGTAACAATCCTGTAAGAAAGACACGCCTGCCGTTTAAATTTCTCCATTCATTGTTGCTCTCTTTGCTGATAGTTCTCTATTTTTTCTTTAAAATGTGGAATATTGTGTTGTAACCTTTTAACACACTGACTACAATTTTATCATCATGCTGCTTTCATAGAATTCAGTAAAGACACATTTGGAAGGAAAAGCATGTGAAAGCAAATTTATTTGTATGTCCTTTTCCCTTAGCAATTACATATTACAAAGAATTAACCCAATCCATAGTATCCTAAAACATGCTTAAATTAAGTAAGACATGGATTTCTGGATTTTGCTGAAATGGCTGCCTTATCAATATGGTATTTCACAGTGTTAGCTTTCCATGACTTTTGAATTTTCTCCACGTGCCTTATTTGGTTTATCTTTTATAATTTTCACTAGAAAGCATATAAAATTAGATAAAAGCCTACTAAATGCCCTTAAAAATGATTGGTTTTATGTCTGGTATGTGGACGACTTGAACAGATCTGTTCTGACTTACACTTATTTTGGGGGACAATTACCCAAATACTCTTGCTATCAACTGTCCCTCTGTTTAAAAGCTTGTCTGCTGGCATACATCTCAGAGTGCCTGCTGTGATAATGGCTGCTGAAAGATGTTGTTTGCATCATGCATAAATCCTACTTACTACTTACGGGCAGTTCACAGCACATTTGGATGAACTTTAGAGATAAATTCTTCTCCATTATAAGCTGCAGTTATTTTACTCAATTTTCTCTCAGAAAAATTCTGAATCCTCTCTGTATTTAAAAATGCAGCCATTAACAACTATACTCTTTGTTTTAAAGTGTTCGGGGTTGCTGCATCCATAATTTAGCTCCAGAGATGGAAATATGACATATTATGTGGCTCTTCACAGAAACAGTGAATTTTACGATTCAAGAATACTATTCACCTTATTGGTGCTGCAGTTGTTCAAAATCTGTGTGATCTAGACTCTAACCACTTATGAACTCCGGATTCCCCACACAAACACCTCTACAGCAAACACCATCATTAATAATGGAAGTATGTGACATGAGGGAATACTAATGAGATTAGATGACCAAAATTGTACTTTTCCAGCTCAGTCATAATCTGGGTCTGAATCCCTCCACGTGATTACTCAAGGGCACTCTCTTCATGCCTTTAGAGATGGTGCTGCACTGATGATTTGTAGTGGGTGTAGATGAGAAAGTGAAATTAAAAAAAAAAAAGTAATGGTTTGCTTCCCATAATTATGTATAAACTTAGCATAAACTAAACAAGGTAAAACATTTCAAGTTAGTTACTGAGAAAAGAAAGAAAAGGCTAAACTTTGCTTTCTTTCAAGGCAGTTCCTTTCCCTCATTACTTTGATTTGCTTGTTAGCATCATTTGCTATCTTGAACCAGTTCACAGACTTTTCCCAGGATCTTTCGCTGAACTACCATGACCAGGTGGCTTTGCCAGTTTTGGGAGTACTTCGGCTCCTCCTGGATACAAAGTAGGACTGTCATTCCAGCCCATCACCTCACTCCCCATTTCTTCTGTTATTTGACATGAAAGGAGGCATTACAGAACTTCTCACCTTATGCCCACGATAAGGCACTGAGGCTATAAATATTCATAAATTCAATATAAAAATTTAAAATTATTCCTACTGATTATTACTACTGGGTGTCTGCTCTTGTAAATAGATTTTCACCATTCTGTATCTCATTTTCCTGGCTGAGACTATCATTCAAAAAAATTAACACTTTCTTCACAGTCCATTCCCACTCTACTACTAATTTTCACAGAATCACAGACTATTAGGAGTTGGAAGGGACCTCGAAAGATCATGCAGTCCAATGCTCCTGCCAGAGCAGGGTCACCTAGACTAGGTTGCAGAGGAACACGTTCAGGCGGGTTTTGAATGTCTCCAGAGAAGGAGACTCCACAACCTCACTGGGCAGCCTGTGCCAGTGCTCTGTAATCCTTACTCTAAATAAGTTTTTCTGCAGTTATAAATTATGAAATCAGGACAGCACCTTAAACTGTCTTTTCTGTATTTTCTGTTAGTTAGGTTTTGGTGGTTTAAAATATTTCCTTATTTCTGATACATCTTCAGATGCCATATCTGTCCCTGTATTGATTTACCACTCTCTCTCACTGCCTAATAAGAACAGCAACACCTTTAATGCTCTTCTTTGTTTGTCCTTCACCTGGTGCTTCAACAAGTAATTTCTCTGATGCTGTTTCCCTGATCTACCACCCTCTGCAATATTTCTTGGAGCTGAGGCACCTCAGTTCATTTGGTGTCTCCAAATAACTGGAAATTTCTTCTCCTTCCCCAACCATCTCCTTTGCATAGATTGATTTGTATGTTATCCTAGTTCTAACTTTCTAATTGTACTGGGTTATTGGTAGTATTTTATCTTAAAAGCAGTGATGTGCTGGGTTTTTTGAAGGCCTGTACCTCTACAGCGCACAGCTGGACGAAAAGGATGCCCATCTTGGAAGCCTGCTGAGGTTCTTTTGTATCTTCATATTATCTTCAGGTCACCAGCAGCATTGCAGTAGCTTTATGTTTTTAGTTGTACTTGAAGATTTAAAGCACTTTACTCACTGCAAAAATTACTTTCATCTGGTTGCTTACCTTGTATTTTGCTGCAAGGCTGGTGGAAAGTTCTGCAGATTGATGTTCATGAGTGATAAACCTGATACAGTTTATCCACGGTTTGTTTAAATAGTTACCATTGAGCTCAGATTATTTGAGAAAAACATGCCTCCCTTAACTAGTAGAGCAGAGTGACAAGCAATTTCTTATTTTAATGTTTCTCTTGCTGGTTGCATATGTTGGAATCAGCTAAGCACTATTAGGGAACAAAAAAGTTGCTGATAAATATAGCATATTGTTTGAAGACAGGCAAAGCAACTCTTAAATACCTACACATCTTTTAAAAAGTGATGATAGCCAGTAGTGTAATAAATTTAGTTCGGGTATTTCTCTGCAAACCTCATCTCCAGTATTAGACAATATTATTGAGATTTTTCATCAACACCATTAGAAAACAATTGTCACAGTGCTGCAATTGAATTTCAGTGTAATGCATGACCATCTTTTTTTACATCACAGAGCTGCTTCTTTGAAAACAAAGGTAAAATTGTATTCCAAGTAATTATTCACTTTTTGTTATATAAATGCAAAAACATCTCTATCTACAAAGTTTCATGCCATCATAGGATCTACTTATCTTCATTTTCTAGCATTTTTTTACCATGTTTGAGCTTCTAAGTAATCAAAGGAAAGAGCTGTTATTTAAAGGCTAAAATAGACACAGGTTTAGAATACTCTTATAGAAAGTAGACTTTGTGCTACATTTCTGTGGTATTTACAAAACTT